ACTGGGACATGTCTCCAAGCTGTAATGTTCAAAAAGCTCTTTATTTTTCTCATACTGCCTGTGCTGTAGCACCTCTTTTCACCCTCCCTCTGAAACCAGACAATGTGTTGGAGCGAGGGCCAATAGGAGCGTGAGTGTTACACGGTGATATCACTATGTTTAGGAAGTAAACAAAGCTTTTCAAGCAAGGGGGAGAGAAACTCCCTCTGGAGGGAACACAGGGATTTTAGCCTTTGCAGACCGTTTACATGCACTCAAACCTGGATAACACACTACAGGAGAGGGAAACACCAAGAAGCAGAGTAGGGCCTCTTTAAGGTTTCCTCCTCGTACTTGTGAAAGCTGCTCGTTGCAACATGAATGGGCTCGCCATCCGTTTGTGATGTCACTAAATCATTCTTGTTTATACGTGTACGCAAACGTTTGACAGAGAAACACTCGGCCCTCAGCCGATGGAAGAAAACACTGCCTCTGCACAGTGAAGGTCAAACACTAGGAGAAACTGCAGAAGGCTTTAAAATACATCAAATTATGTCGTCTCTTTTTTTGTGTTTAAGTATCAGTATTCAGTGGTGAGTTTGAACTAAACTTACAAAAGAAAAGATTATAACAGATGATAAACAAATGTGTAGAGCAGTCAAAGGAAAACAATTTGTAAAATGTTTTTTAAAAAGGTGATGGAAATGCGTAAAAATAGAAAATAATAAATAAATACAAATAAATTCACAAATATGAACCTGACATAACAACATTTGTGTGTACATGTATCGTTGTTCAGGAAAAATTTAATATTTGTATTTTGTTCTTTACTTTCTATATGTTTTTGGGGTATAAACTGTGTCTTAAGAAAACCGTAGAAAAGAAATGATCGGTGTTACAGCTTCAAGCGACATGCGGTCTATTCCTAAATGCTTATTTCCTTGTGGTCCCTTATGGTTTATACACTAAATACACTTCTTTCCACACTTTGCAGTGACTTGTGTGTGAACAGCGCTCTTTAATTAAATTGCCTTGCAGCTTTTCGATCAGCATAAACCTGCTTTTGTTTGTCTTCGCTTCAAGGAGTAATGACTCATTATTTGTGTACGTGTGTTTGAGTGTTATGCATTGAACACGAGCGGTTAGCCTGCAGCGTGAAATGGAAAACAGAGTGATCTTTTACTGATCCTCCCGATGCACGCTCTGGTTTTAATTGGCAGCGAGAGGTCAAAGGTCAGGGATCAGCCTCAGAGCGGTTTCAGCTAAACAACGACTTCCTGCTCTAACTTGAGCGTACCGTTACAAACTCTCTTTCTGTCTCACTGTCAAACTGAGGATATTAACCCTCTTTTCACTGCTGGATTGAATCCACTTTGTGAACTGGAAAGTATATTTTGTACTTTTTATTGCACTGTGTATCTGACAGCTTTAGTAACTTGCTTTCAATCAGATTCATAATGCATAATATAACTAATAAATACTTTATAATGTATACATATAGGTTAAGATAAAACTGTATTGATCTTTTGTAAGATTCTTAAGCTAATATAATATATGCATATCTTGGTAATTCAATATTATATATATGTAACATTAGTCCTTATGAAACAATCACATGTTAATGTAAATGCTTGCAAACTCCTGCGTGACTTAAATAGCTCACAAATATAAAGTATGTTGTCATTTAATCAAGAACGTAAGTGCAAAATAAACCGAACAGTACATTCATTATATATATAAATCAATAGTTCCTGCGCTCTACACTGACTCAAATACAGTAATCAGATGAAGACTAAAAGTGTAAAGTCGATTTTCTGAGAGGTTTGAGTTAGTAGGAGCTTGTTATTAGAAATGTTGACGTAATTGTGTAGCACGTCATCTCAATATTTAATATCACAATGCCGATAATCGCCCAGCCCTAGTTAGAGCTCAACACTAGGGATGTAATGATACCAAAAAATCACGGTACGATAATATCGCGAAAACAAGTCCACGGTACGGTATTTATCGCGATATTGAATAATAAAGGGG